TGGGGGTTCCCTGGGGAGGGGAGACCCAGATCTGTGAGAGTACTGCCAGGGAGCAGCACTCCGGCCTGAAAGGGGCACCGGGATCCAGGAGGGACTCGGGTCCAGCGGCAAGCGGGACACCGGCCTGCAGAGGGCGCTCCTGGGTCGAAGAGCTAATTCCCCGGATGACCGACAGGAGGTGCCGCAGGGGTGAGTCCCGCCCCATGATGCCCCCAAATATCTTTCAGTCCCTGCTTCCCAGGATAGGGTCCCCCATCCTGTAAGTGTGGCCTGCATTCATTGTTCCTAGATGTACACATTTCCATTTAGCCATATTAAAATGCATATTGTTTGTGCATGCCAAGTTTGCCAAGTGATCCAAATAGCTCTGTATCGGTGTATCCTCTTCATTATTTACCACTCCCCCACTTTTTCTGTCATCTGCAAATTTCATCAGTGATGATTTCATGCTTTTTTCCAGGTCATTGATAAAAATGTTAACTAGAGCAGGGCCAAGAACGGATTCCTGTGGAACCCCTCAGAAAGCCACCTGTTTGATGATGATTCCACATTTACAGTTACATTTTGAGACATAAGAACATAAGAATGGCCATATTGGGTCAGACCAAAGGTCCATCTAGCCCAATATCCTGTCTTCTGGCAGTGGCCAATACCAAGTGCCTCAGAGGGAATGAACAGAATAGGTAATCATCAAGTGATCCATCCCCTGTTGCTCATTCCCAGCTTCTAGCAAACAGAGGCTAGGGACACCATCGCTGTCCATCCTTTATCAATCAGACTTGTCATCTCATCATAAAAAGATATCAAGTTAGTCTGAGAGGATCGGTCCTCCATAAACCTGTGTTGATTGGCATTAGATATGTTACCCTCCTTTAATTCTTTGTTAACTGAGTCCTGGATCAGCAACTGTATTATCTTGCCCGGGATCAATGTCAGACTGATAGACTTGTAATTACCGCGTCATCCTGTTTGCTCTTTTTAAACATTGATGCAACATTTGCTTTCTTCCAATCTTCTGGAACTTCCTCGGCGTTCCAAAACTTACTGAAAATCAACATTAAATATCCCCTTTTTACCCCTATGATGTTCCACACAGGGAATTGAATTGAATCTCAGGACCAGGCCTCCACTCCCTCCCAGTGGGTGTTACTTGTCACTACTGTTAGAAAAATGGCAAATGGTTCCAACTGCATAATTTGGTCCCACATTTCAAACAGCCTACAATCCCAGGGCGTTTAGATGTGAGATTCTGAGTCAGCCCAGTGTGGATTCTAGGAAGCAGTTTCTGGTGCACTGGCAGTGTCCATGTTGTAAGACAGGGGTCGGCAACGTTTGGCACGCGGCTCACCAGGGTAAGCACCCTAGCGGGCCCGGCCAGTTTATTTACCTTCTGACATGGCAGGTTCGGCCAATCGCAGCCCCCACTGGCCACGGTTCGCCGTCCTGGGCCAATGGGGGCGGTGGGAAGCGGCATGGGTGAGGGATGTGCTGGCCACGGCTTCCCACCACCCCCATTGGCCCTGGATGGCGAACCGCGGCCAGTGGAGGCCACGATCAGCTGAATCTGCCGCGTCAGCAGGTAAATAAATTGGCCCGGCCCGCTAGGGTGCTTACCCTGGCGAGCCGCGTGCCAAACGTTACCGACCCCTGTTGTAAGAGAAGGTACTGCCACCTAGTGGTGAATGTGCAGACGGGCCAAAGGGCTTGCTAGCAGTGGCCGTTCCTAGCAGTGTCTTTTAATGCAGGTGGCAGGCTCCTGCTCTGTTTTGGAGATGAAAGACCAGGGTTCTAATCCTGGCTCGCCCAGCATGTGCCTGGCGCTAACAGAGCAGCTTTCCTTTTCCAGGCAGCACACAACTTTGTTATCCATTGTAACATTCAGAGCTGGGTTAGGATCTTGAACCTGCCAAATTCAGAGGGTGTATGGATACAGAGCTCAGCGTGGAACCATTCACTGGCAGCAGTGGGACCTTGGGCAAGTCACTTCAAACCAGATTAATAAAGGTATTTGGGTGCCTAAAGATGCATATCGATGCCTAGTGGGTTTCTAAAGCTCCCAGCCACTTAACTCCTATTGACATTAATTTAAGCACTTAAATCCCTTTGAGAATCTGGGCCCAGAGCACTTTTGGAAATCCCTCTGGGCATCTATCTGCATGTTTAGGCACCTAAATCACCTTTGAAAATTTGGCCATTTGTTTCCGCATGTCTCAGTTGCCCATCTGTACACAGCACTTCCCTATCTCACAGGGGCAAGGTGAGGATAAATACATTAGAGATTGGGAGGTGCTCCAATCCTATAGCAATAGGGGGCCTTATATGACCGTAGATAGGAAGGTGTGCTGCATGCCCAACTTGATACACCATGGGCCTGATTTTGATAGGTGATGAGCACCTGCAGTTCCCATTGGCTTGAACTGGAGCTGCGGGCACTCAACACCTCTGAAAATCTGGCCTCTAAGTCATCTCAATTTGGGCCCCCAGAAATGTAGACACCACTGGTGCCAAAAGTACCAATGGGAGTTAGGTGCCTAAGTCTCTTTCAGGATCTCCCAGGCTTTGGAGGTTCCTGGACACTAAATCACAACTATTACGCCAACACATCTGTTTCCCAAAGGCCGGTCTCTCTCTTGTTTTCACATCAGTTTCCATAATGTCACCAGTCCACCATAAATGATCCCCTCAGGTTGGCCTTACACTCTATTCCATCTGACCACGCCAAGTGTGAATTCCCCCTTGACAAAGAGGTCCTTCTTTCTTTGTGTCACACAATCCTGATCAAGTATTATTATTATTTATTTGTATTACAGTAGCAAGTAGGAGCCCCATTCATGGACCAGGACTCCCTGGTGTTAGGCACTGTACAAACACAAAACAAAAGAATTATCTCTGTCCCAGAGAACTTACAATCTAAATATAAGACAAGAGAGAACAGATGGATACAGACAGATGGGAGAATGCAAGGCAACTATGAGACAGTATTGGTCAGCATGACAGGCAGTAGTCTCGGCAAACCAGTGGCCTAACCGTTGTCAGGTTTTTTATAGACATCACGGGAAAGGAGGGATTTGAAAGATGATAATGAGGTAGTTTCTGGCTGTTTACCAGGAGCTTCTCCCAAGCATGCGTGGCAACACGAGAGACAGCACAAAGGGTCTCGTTTGAAGATGTAACGAGCAGGCGATGGAGGCGGACATCCTGGGCCAGTCGGAGGTGGGAGTCAACATCTCAACAGCAAATTAAAGATAACAGGTTGGGCAGGGCTAGGCCATGAAAGTGAAGACAAGTAGCTTGCCCTAGCACTGTATCTATGACTCAGAACGCTAACATGCCTGTTTAGTCTCTCTGCCACTGGCTGATCATTCTTCAAAGTAGCAGCTGCCTGGGAGTCTGCTGAAGAACTTATTACATCAACACCTGAGTTCATATATTTGGGGCTTGAACCTTCAACTCTGGAGGCCCCAAACCTGATCCTATGTTCACATTGTGGGGCTTCACGTAGGGCTACATTTTGGCTCCTGGTGAGGAAGTATTTAACTTGAGTGTCTAGCACTAAATGCTGATTGGCCAGGTATATACTGATTTTCAGAAGTGCTGAGCACCCACCGCTCCCATTGAATGAAGTGGCCCTCTGAAAATCAGGCCCCATATTTAGGGATTTAAATTTAGGCCCCTAACTGGAAAATGTCAGGCCTGGTTTTGAAAGATGGTGAATGTGTACAGTTTCAGTGCAAGTTTCAGCACTCAAAAAAAGAAGATAACCAAAATCAGATGACAATTTAAAGCATTCTGACTAGTCTGTGCAAGACCTGGAATCATAGGCGCCGACTCCATGGGTACTCCGGGGCTGGAGCACCAATGGAAGAAAAATCACAGCTAATCGGTGGTGCCACCAAACAGCTGATCAGTGCCACCGATGGAGTGGAGTGGAGTGGAGTGGGGTGGGGGTGGGGCCTCAGGGTGGAGTGGGGTTGGAGCACCCACAGGGAAAAATAAAAGTCAGTGCCTATGCCTGGCATTTCCATTTTGCGTGAAGTCCTGTGATTTTGAAATCTGCTTTTGTTTTGCATTGGAACAAACCATCGAAATTTGATATTTCCTGCCAAATGAAATTTTTGAAATAACTTTGTTTCAGGTCAATGGAACACAGAGGCGAATTTGGAGTAGAATATAAAATAAAATAAAACAAATTGCAAAACTTTTTTTTTTTTTTTAAATAAATGTTTATCAGAATTGACACTCCTGCGGATTTCAGTGAAATAGCCCATCAGAAATGTTTCAACCAGCTCGAATTTTGACATGTGCTTGTGAAGGACATATCCTTCTAAGGGCATTGGGGAAATAATCAGGCGCAGCAGCAATTTCTACATCTACAGCGGAAGATCAGCTTGCCCTGTATGGGCCTTCCCTACCACTGCTTGTGAATATGCAGGACTGGGGAAGTCCTAGCTATACCTCCTGCACACCTAAACATGCCCCTTTTGGGGTATGAAGCACCTCTTAATGGATGCATGAGCAGTGGATTACAGTAGGTTCCCGCTTGGATGCACTATGAATGGGAATGCTGCTCTGTTCACCCTCTCCCTATCTGAATGGAAGAAATTCACCTGCTTCCAGCTGGCATCCAGATTTTGGAAGGGAGCAATGGATCTAGTGAACTTGGTGGGTCCGGTGCTACAAACATAGGCTGGTAGAAGCAATCAAAGCCCAACAGCTCTGATCACAGCTGTGGACAATGGAGAGAAGCAGGAGCTAGCACAGACCAGCAATGACTATTGCAGTCCTACAGGGTCAGTAGGGCCCAGAGGATGATGATCAGGGAACAGTAGAATGAGGATAATGAAGCCTGTTAGAATTCCCAGTAGTGGTGTCCCCAAGCCTCTCTCATGCAGTAGCAGCTATTGGGTGGGCCATGAGATGGAGACCGTCCAGTGGCATAACCCCCCCCAATGAGATAATCCTGGCAACTCTCCCACAGGCCTTGCTCACCTCCTGGTTCCTCAGGCTGTAGTGTAGACGAGGGGATTGAGTAGTGGGGTGAGCACTGTGTAGAGCAGGGAGAGTGCCTTGCTGGGGTTCAGCCCTGTGCCGTCCCTGGGGGACATGTACACGGCCACCAGCGTTCCGTAGAACAGTGTCACCACGGTGAGGTGGGAGGAGCAGGTGGAGAAGGCTTTGTGTCTCCCCGAGGCAGAGGGGACCCTCAGCACAGCCCAGGTGATGCAAACGTAAGAAGCGACTGTCAGGAGGAATGGGTTGGCTGGGATGAAGGACAGGAAGAACGTGACCGTCTGGACCATGGAGGTGTTGGTGCAGGAGAGCTCCAGGAGGGGCTGGAAATCACAGAAGTAGTGGTCTATCTCGCGGGACCCGCAGAAGGTCAAGGGTATAAGCGACAGTGACACAATCCCCATGAACAGGAACCCGCCCACCCAGGACCCAACCACCAGCTGCCCGCAGACCCTGCCGTCCATGAGGGAAGGGTAGTGGAGTGGGCGGCATACGGCCAAATACCGGTCAGAAGACATGGCTGCCAGCAGGAAGTACTCTACGGTGGCCAGGGCGCTGAAGAGATAGAGCTGCGCAAGGCAGCCACCAAGAGATATCATCACATTGCCTGTCTGGAGACCAGTGAGCATCACAGGGGAGACGTTGCAGGTGGAGACAATCTCCAGGCAGGAGAGGCTGGAGAGGAAGAAATACATAGGGGTCTGGAGATGGGGGTCCAGCACCACCAGCACCACCAGGAGGAGGTTGGCGGCCATGGATATGATATAGACAGCTAGGAAGCCAGTAAAGAGTGGGATCCACAGTTCCTTGAGGTTCCCAAATCCCAGGAGGAGGATGTGGGAGATGGTGGTGAGGTTTCCACTGCCTGTGTCCTTCATAGGGAGGGTCTGGGGGAAAGAGAGTCAGCAGATAATTATGAGACAATGAAAAAACTATCCATAAAAGCCTGCAGCTATATGTCCTTGTGGGAAATAGTGCTGTCTAGTGATTACAGCAGTGAAGGAGAGGAGTGGGGGCCAGTGGTTAGAGCAATGGAGGCCCGGACTCCTGGGTTGTATCTTAGCTCTGAGAAAGGCCTGTTGTCTAGTGGATTAGAGAAGGGGGTCTTAGCATCAGGACTCCTGGGTTCTATCCTATGGCTAGAAGGGCAATGGGGTTTAGCAAGATAGAGCAAAAGTACTGGGCCTCCACCCCCATTGTGAATAAGAAAAAGTATCTTGAAGCTGTGCTTCATTTATTTCTCTTCTTTCAACAATGTGACCTGGTCAAAACTCAGAATTTCCATTCCATGGGTAATCCTGACATTCTGAAATTGCCTTTCATCCCAGATCATAATGAAACAGCAACATTGCCAGCAAAATTCTGACAAATTTCATTTTGGAGACAGCTAAAGAACCTTATCAAAATGTTGACGTGCTTTGTTGGGATAACGATAAAGCACTTCCTTTTTAACTTTATCATTTCTACTCGGTTCAATTCTAGTCTATTAAACTTGAGATGATAGTCGAATTGACATGCTTTGAAGTTACAGAAATAAAATACCGCACTCATTTGTCATAAAAATGTGCCAAAATCGGTATGTTCCCATGAAACATTTGCATTTTGTTGAATCACCAAACTGAGAGGAAAACTGGTCATTCAGCAAATTGTGGTCCAACTCCAGGCCCAACCTTTGCTGTGAACCCTGAGGATTCGGGACACCGTGGATAATAACTGGTAACACTATGTCAAGGTAAAAGCATGAGACTGTGTGCCAGGATAGGCCTCTCCTATCAAAACGCTCGATTTTGGCCTTTGCCTCTGACTTGCTGGTGACCTTGAGTATGTCCCTTAACCTCTCTGTGCCTCACTTTTGTTATTTATTAAGTACAAGACACAGCGATGAACCAAGTCCTTTCCCTGGACAGTTTACAATGTGAAGGGTCTTCACTGGGCCAGGGGGAAATCTTTAGCACGAGTGGGGCAGGGAGGCTTCAGCAGTCAACACGGGGAAATAAATTTAAACACCATTGTCCCTTGGCTGGCACAGGTAGCAGAGATCAATGATAAAAGTCAGAGATGTTTGTAGGGAATCCTGTTTATTTACAAAGAATATGCAGAGGGCTCTTTCCTCATTCAGCAATCCAAGTCTGCCTTTCCACTGGGTCCTGTGCTCAAAAGTAGCTCTGTCTCTTGGTTTTACCCCAAGGCTATGTTAACCCCTGCCTCTCTTGCGTTCTGCTTCTTTCTGCCTCTCACAGAAAGAAGCAGAAAGATATAGATATAAAGCTACAATCAACCAGGCCTCTCTGTTTAGATGTAAAATAAGTTCTCAGCTCTTTCTGGAAATCAGGCCCTTTTAAAGTGTCTCAAATTGGGCCCCCTAAAATCCTGGCAAATATTTATTTGACAAATATTAGCCCAGTAGGTTTTTTTCCTATCACTGGCATCCATGCTTCTTTAAAGACTATCCACATGGCCACACTACAATTCCTAGCCACACTGCTCCCTGAAAGAGCCACACAGAGCAGAAAACTGGAAAAAGACCTCTCAACGATATACAGCAAATGCAACAACCACAGTTACAAACAGAGCTGGTTGGACGCTCTTTGGTCACAAAAATTCTTCAGCAACTGTTAAAACAAAAACGATGTTGGTTTTGTTTTTGCTAATACAGACTAACTTGGCTACCACTCTGAAACCTGTCAGCAAATGTTGCTGTTCTTCACTGAATAATTTACGCCAAGAAACAAGTGACTAGTGATTTTCAGAGGGTGGGCGCTCAGCCCTTTCTGAAAATCAAACCCTTTTAAAATGTCTCCTGTTGGGCACTGAAAAAAGGAGGCTTACGAAATCATGAGTCAAGTCTGAAAATCTTGGCCTTATCCAATTAATTTTTTTTTGCATTTACAGATAAGAACATAAGAACATAAGAAAGGCCATACTGGGTCAGACGAAAGGTCCATCTAGCCCAGTATCCTGTCTTCTGACACTGGCCAATGCCAGGTGCTTCAGAGGGAATGAACAGAAAGGCAATCATCAAATGATCCATCCCATCACCTATAGAGTGGTAAAGGGTACTGGTTAAAATGTTTTAAAGCTCCTAAGTCCCATTTTCAAAAACACCTTATTCACTTAGGAACCCCCTGATGAAGGGACTTAGGTACTTTTGAATATTTTACCCTCTGTCTCACTATGTGTTTGCAGTGCACCATGGAAGCCTGAAGGGCGAAGGAAATTATTGTAGTTTCATATGCCATAAATGTTACCTTTCTCCTGCACCAGGAATGTAGGATCATCACCCTTGTTTGGGTCATGAAGCAGATAGCAGCTGATAGTATCGTGTCAATTCATCTCTGTCTTTAGTTCATCAAGTCTTTTTTCAACTGGCCCAGAGTTTGGTTGGAAGGAGACCAGCCACTGGCCAGAACCTGTGTCATTCTGGAAAAGCAGCACCAGAAATGATGTTACCCTTTTCCTATTCTTTTTATAGGAGACAGGAACCTCCCCTGAGTGATCTTGTGAAAATCTCTTCCAAAGGGAATCATTACAATGTTGTTCATTATAATCATTTTTCTTAACTTAAGTACATGCCTTGGGGGAACAGCATTAAAAAATAATCCTTTATATGTTTGTATTTAGTCCATTACCGAGCTTATTAATGAGAGCAAGTTGCCAGGACTTCATTTTACATCCGTCAAAAAGATACATCCAGCAGTACAGCACCCCTGCTAAGTATGGTTACTCTTATTATATTGCTATGAGCTGGGTGAAAACTTGTTACAGGTTGAGTGAAACCTCATTCAAACTGATGTGTCAATGGGCCCTTCGTTTAAGATAGTTGTAAGAGACAAGAGGCCAACAAGCTCTGCCCAGAAAGTAGCACCATGTGGACATTCAGGTTTCTACTGGGTATCGTGACCGGGTCTGTGAGAGAACACACAGAAAATGAGACCAGACAAGAACCTCAGCAAAATCTGAAGAGAGCTCGTGGATCCGTTGGATAGAGAGGCTTGGGGCCATGAGCTGAGGAACTGCTCCTTTTGTTCCTAGCTCCTCCTGTGTTTGGAGAAGGAGGACTTGGTACATCCCTTGTAAATAAACAAGACTGCATCTGAGCGAACACCATCCTCCATTGGCTTCTGCTTCCAGCTGGGAACTTCTCCAGGGTCCCGAACTATGACTAGCTGCTTGGGTCGGAAAGAGGCAACAGTATTATTGTTGCCATAGTGCACAGAGGCCCTGTCATGGACCAGGGCACTGCAAAAGGCAGAACAAAAGGAGAGTCACGCACCAAATTCTGACAACATGGGCAGGGTGGAGCCCCCCTTTGGGGATGCTAGACCCCGACTCCGCCCCTTTTGCCCATGGCCGGAGCACCGAAACCACCTGCCCCCCCACGGCTGGAGCCCCAAGCACCTCCCCTTCCCCGGCCGCATGGCCCCCAGGCTGGCCGAAGCCCTGAGTACCCCTCGCCTTGGCTGGAGGAGCCCCGAGCTGGCTGAATTCCTGAATGCTCCCGGCCTCAGCTGGAGGATCCTCATGCTGGCCAAAGTCCTGAGCGCTCCCAGCCTCATAGAATCATAAAATCATAGAATATCAGGGTTGGAAGGGACCTCAGGTGGTCATCTAGTCCAACCCCCTGCTCAAAGCAGGACCAATCCCCAACTAAATCATCCCAGCCAGGACTTTGTCAAGCCTGACCTTAAAAACCTCTAAGGAAGGAGATTCCACCACCTCCCTAGGTAACCTATTCCAGTGCTTCACCACCCTCCTAGTTGAAAGCTTCTATCAGATCCCCCCTCATTCTTCTCTTCCACAGACTAAACAATCCCAGTTCCCTGAGCCTCTCCTCATAATTCATGTGCTCCAGCCCCCTAATCATTTTTGTTCCCTCCGCTGGACTCTTTCCAATTTTTCCACATCCTTCTTGTAGTGTGGGGCCCAAACTAGACACAGTACTCCAGATGAGGCCTCACCAATGTCGAATAGAGGGGAATGATCACATCCCTCGATCTGCTGGCAATGCCTCTACTTATACAGCCCCAAATGCCGCTAGCTTTCTTGGCAACAAGGGCACACTGTCGACTCATATCCAGCTTCTTGTCCACTGTAACCCCTAGGTCCTTTTCTGCAGAACTGCTGCCTAGCCAGTCGGTCCCTAGTCTGTAGCAGTGAATGGGATTCTTCCGTCCTAAGTGCAGGACTCTGCACTTGTCCTTGTTGAACCTCATCAGATTTCTTTTGCCCAATCCTCTAATTTGTCTAGGTCCCTCTGTATCCTATCCCTACCCTCCAGCGTATCTACCACTACTCCCAGTTTAGTGTCATCTGCAAACTTGCTGAGGGTGCAGTCCACGCCATCCTCCAGATCATTAATGAAGATATTGAACAAAACCGGCCCCAGGACCGACCCTTGGGGCACTCCGCTTGATACCGGCTGCCAACTAGACATGGAGCCATTGATCACTATCCGTTGAGCCTAACGATCTAGCCAGATTTCTATCCACCTTATAGTCCATTCATCCAGCCCATACTTCTTTAACTTGCTGGAAAGAATACTGTGGGAGACCGTATCAAAAGATTTGCTAAAGTCCACTGCTTACCCCTCATCCACAGAGCCAGTTATCTCGTCATAGAAGGCAATTAGGTGAGCCAGGCATGACTTGCCCTTGGTGAATCCATGCTGACTGTTCCTGATCACTTTCCTCTCCTCTAAGTGCTTCAGAATTGATTCCTTGAGGACCTGCTTCATGATTTTTCCAGGGACTGAGGT